GTAGAAAGTCCAACCCCATGCATGTGAACATATGGACTTTGCATGTGAACATATGGACTTTCCATGTGGTGAAATTTCTTCACCAACCTAGCTAGTTGTGGGCTAGGATTGCTATGTTGAAATCATGCATTGGTGGTAATGTGGCAAAGAAAAATGGTGCATGGGTGGTTGGATTTTTCACTATAAATACCCATGCATGCAAAGGCAATGGGCAAGTCATAGTAGGGGAAAGCAAGAGAAATTGAGTGAGAGCTCTTGTAGAGAAAAGAAAGAGAGAAATTGTGAAAAAATCCTTGTGTAGATTAAGAGAGAGTATTAAGGAGAATTGGGAGCTTCTATACATTGAAACTAGGGTGTTGAGGGTTTCTTGAGTTAGAGAGCTTCTTAATTATTATACTCTTTTTCTTAATAGTGGATTTATTTCTCTCTTTTCCATGGATGTAGACTTGTTGAGAAATGTACAAGTCGAATCATGTTAAATTGTTATCTCAATTTCTTTATCGCTTCCGTTTGTGTGGGATTGTGGTACTCAAAATTCTCAACAATAACAAATCTTAATAAATATAAGCTACTAGTAATATTTTTATTTAATTCCTATATATTCAAAACCCAATAAGAGAGAAGTCAAGTAACCCACCAAATTGTTTTCTTTAACTTTTACTGTATTATGTTATGTCACTAAATCACAATCATCTTCCTTGGGTATGGAAATACCATAATGAAAGGTTGACTTTGGAATTTCTTCATTGATAAGATAATTATCTATTACACCCTTTGTTAAATAAGGCTTAAGCTTAGTAGAATAATTTGCAAGCACTTTTTTTGACAATTTTGTAGCAACAAGCAGAGCAACCATATCATCTTTTTCCACACAAGAAAGCAACAAAGATAGTAGTTCCGTAGGCATATCTTTACTTTCTTATAAAACAAGAGTCATAATACTTTCCATGTAGTCGAAGATAACCTCTAGGTGATAGTCCTAGATTGATAATAGAAAATGTTGGAACATTTCAATAATTAGTGCATCACACTCAAGATCCAACATCAACACACAAGATTGAACCCTTGCCATAATGCTCAAAATTATTTTTCTATTATACTATGAGTTATCACAATTGTTTAACAAATGCTCAAATGATGAAATAATTAATTTAAATACCTCCTTCATTTTGTCATCATCATATGAAGCATCTGGAGTAGTGATTCTCATCATCTCACTAAGGCTACAACAAAAGTTCTAACATGGGTATTTGAATGATGAAAAAGGTGTTCTGAAACCAAAGCCTGTTTTGATAGATATAATGCCTTTTCTAAGTGTGGACATGGCTTTTGTTTCACTTTTGAAAGAAAATTCTTTAGTTGTACCAAGATAGAGAGAAGATTATCAATTGAAGAAAGAGGTTTCTTGAGGGAATACCCAACTTCCTTCAACCGTTCTATCAGCAACAATTCTTTAGACAAAGAAACCATGATTTCACTCTATTAAACCAGAAAATCAATTTCAAAAAATTGACCTATATCAAAAAAAAAAAAAAAAGCATTGGTAGTTCCAAGTAGAATTTGGCAAAACGAACCTTAAAAATGGATTTAACACCTTGAAATTAGGTGGAATGGTTGGTTGACATGTGATGATGCTGCATTGAACTCAAGAGAATTGACTGAGGTGTGGTGCTGACTTGTGCTAATATGGCAGCTTTGTTGCTTGTTGGAAGACACTAATCTGGAGCAAATCCAAACAGAATAGATCGGGAGTGATGGCTTCCTTTTGGTTTTGTAAACTATAACTTCTTTTGATTTTCTCTCTTGGATCATGAAACCGAAGTGATGCTTTTTTGTTTTTTAATTTTTTTGGCTATTGGTTTGGATTTGAAAGGTAATATCTTGGATTCGGATCTGAAGGCTTTGATACTAATTGATGTAGAACAGAAAGCAAAGGTAAGGATAGAACTTAAAAACAAAGGAAGGGTGAGAAAAGAATAGTAAAATTAGGAATTTCTAAAAAACAAATTTATTCATAAATACTTCAATTAAATAGTTCTAATACAACCTATACTTAAAATCTTAAATATAAAAACTAAAAGTTCAAATTAGACTTATTTTTTAATTAGACTCCTAATTAAATCTTTATTGCAAGATAATAACAAATCTTAATAATTATAAGTTACTAATAATATTTTTATTTAATTTCTATATAATCATAATCATAATAAAATCTTAATAAATATATTATTTGCTTCCTTATCTGCATCACTTTACATACCCCTCTACATGACAACAAAGAGCTAACTTACAAAACCATTTACAATAAATCCTTATCTGGGAAGCGTAAGCATCACCACCGCCAGCATGGTTAATAGCTCCGATAACACTCCGATGTCGGGATGGACTCCAAGGTCCAAGAGATATGAAATTCCTTTGGGCTTGGTCTTGAGCTTGGGCTTGTGTTATGAAATTGAATTCTCAGCAGGCCAAGAGCCCAAGGCCTAAGGCCGAAAAACAAAAGCAGGCCGAGGCCTAAGGCAAAAAAAAAAAAGCAGGCCGAGGCCTAAGGCCTATTTCTTTTCTTTTCGTTTTTTTATGCCTATAGTGTGAACATTTTTGGGTAC